CCGGCCGTGGGTCCCAGCGGGCGCCTGGGAGCGGGGCGGAGGGAGGAGGCTTCGGGCGGGCTTGTGCCCTCGCGTCCCCGGTGTTGGGCGAGCGTTTGGGGCGCGGGAATAGAAGGGAGTAAAACGTCAAGAAGGAAGAGTGTTGACTGGTGCAGTATTAGTTCCTGCCCAGCCCTTGCGCTGTGCAGTTTAATGCCATTTAACCTAGCGAAATGTCGGCCTTTTTTCCCCCAAACATGCAAAAGGTTCATGCAGCTGTCATCTCAAAACATAATCTGCCCCAAAATTGTTTCTCTGTCTCCCAAGTTACTGTGTATATACGGGGGATAAAAAAATACACTCGTTCTGTGAAACCATTAGGAAATTAAATGATAATATTTCTCCTCTAGGGTTATTGCATGAATTAAATTAGCAGATAAAGCATGAAATCCTCTTGTTATTTGTTTAAAGTTTTCCTGTGCATAATAATAAAATATCTAGCTTTTAGCTGCACTATTTTTTTTCCTGGACCAAAGCCTTGTTCCCAAGCCCCTCTATCAGACTTACTATAACCTAGAAGTCTTCAGCAGCCTCACCGCAGACATCAAAACTGCTAGAAATAGTTTTATTTCCCGTTGTGCAGAAATTCTCACTGTCAAGAACCAAATATTCTCAAAGGAGACAGAGGAGTCTGAGCGGAACAAGCACGTTTGTGCCTTTACAAATAAGGGAGTTAGTTACCCCACATTGTTTGGCTCTCTGATGAGCGGAACAAAGGACCATATATGCTGGGGGGAGGACTGAGCGGAGCAGGAGTGAGTGAGACCAAGGAGCATATGCCAAGAGTTGGGTGCCTTTACAAAGGAGGGAATTGCTCCCCATTCTTTGGCAAGGGGACAAAGGAGTCGGGTGACCTCGGGTGAGAACAGCAGGCAGGAGGCAGGGAGGTTGGTACAGACAGGCCGGGAAGTCTGTAACTTCTGAGGACCTTGACCAGTGGGGAAAAGCAGAGGGCGTACCTCGGTCGGGAAATTAGGATAAAAGGGGCTGCGTCCCCCAGCAATTTGAGAGACCCCATAGGGGTATACGTGGTGGGATCTGCATTTGTCCGAATGAAGTTGTAGGACTGCTCTGTCCCCTTTGTGGACATTTGGTTCTAGACAGTGAGATTTTCTGCACAGCTGTTTCTGCACAGCATGGTCTTGGACACCATACCACTTACAGGATGTTTTAATACAGATGGGTGTAGCAGCAGATGACAAAAATAGTGAGGCCACAGCCTGCACTTACCTGGTCATAGAAGTCATTACAAGCTGCTATTTCTGTTCCAAAAATCCACAAAGTACTTTCAGCATAACTGTATGAATGTTGCTAGGATGAATACTCAAACAAGCATGTATTTACATAATGACTGTGATGTTGTAACTTTTAGTACATGGAGTAAACCATGTACAGTTGAGTGGTTGCAGAAGCAGCCACCAATCACTGAATGGGAAATACATTTTTTTTTTTTAAGACTTTCATGCTGGTCTGCCTGGGCAAATTGATTAAAAATATTTATTACTGTCCCCTTCTAGAAAATAGCCCTTTTCAGAAGTTGGTATTATGTGATGATTAGTCAGTTAATCCTTAGGAAGCCTTCCAAGCAAGAATTACAGTATTAAAGTACTAATTGTTATTATTTACTATTTCTACAAACAGTGCATTTATGAAGCATAACCGTTCCCAATATCACCT